TTTAAACATGGTCAAATTTTTTACTTCTCAAAATAACAGGATTTTTAAAGTTGCGAATGAATTTTTCTTAAGTAAAGATGCACCAAATCCAATATTTCAGTACTGTTGTATGCAAACAAAGTTAGGACAAATTTGGACAATTCTTTCAAAGGCAAGCTTTCAGCACAAGTCTTACTAATCTCCAGCTGGGGGCAAACAATTGTTTTTCATACAAAACCTGGACTAAGTAAGACACTCTTCTCTGACTCTATCACATTCAAGCATATTCATGCATCATATCATACGATCAAACCAAGCAACTATTCGGCTCAATAGTCTCAACAATGCTAGGCCAAGGGCAAATAGTATAGATATAAAAACAAAATACTAACTTTGATTGTAAAAATTAAAAGAAAAAGAAGAATGTCATCTATCAAAGGCACGACGGCCTTACACACATCAAAAAAGAAAACATTGTCTTAATGATCAAGGGGGCAACTCGTCAGACAAATCGAGCTTTAGTACGACAAAAGGAAAAGCAAAAAAGAAGAAAATAAAGGTAAGTACTAAAAGTCAAAAACCACTTCATTTACTAGGATTGAAAGAGGGTTCTTCAATAGTAGGGGCCACAAATTCATTTGGAACTGCCTTGGAAGGAGAAGCAGAGGTAACATTAACATCTTAGATAGTAGGAACTTCAAAGGTTCCTCCCTCTATAGCACTTCCCGCATGGGCCTTGCCCTCATAAACTTATACCTATTTCTGGGTAGCACACTTCTCTAGGGTCTTAGTATAGGAACCAGCACCTAGCGAGACCTTGGATTGTGGGGTTGCAGCAATTTTAGGACCGAAAGATTTTGAGGGAACAAGAATATCTGGGAACAGAGGAGACTCCTCAAGGACCTCAGCAACGACTAGGGCACTCATCCATCCTTTTAGGAAAAACTTGTCGCGAATGACAAGTACTTTCTCCTTATAGGTTGCACCAACCTCATCCTAACCCTGTTGTTAGTGCTTGGCCTCCAAAGTGGTTTTTTCAGCCACCATAATAGCAATAGCGACCTTTAGCTTGGTAACCTTTTATTCAAGCTTCGTTTATGTCTCAACGACAGTATCCCTAGACTTCTTAGAAGTAGCAGCAACCTGCTTTAGCTGAAAAGCTTCGTGTTCTGCGGATCTTTAGCTCTCTTTTTCATTCTCTAGGCTCACAGTCAGACTATTATTACTCGTTGTTGCCTCCAGTACGACCTTCTCCATAGCTTTAGTACAAGTTATAGAAATGTGCATCCTCCGAATACACTATAACAAGAAAAGGTAGTAAGTGAAAGAAACAACAAAGTTTAACAAAAAATAACAAAAAGAGAGTACCAAAACACTTACAGCAATCATCATTTGTAGAGTCCCCTTCATGATCGGAATGTCACGAGGTCCATTATGGTTTTCCATGTCCACAAGCAGAAGTAGAGTCTTGGTAAAGTCGAACACGAGTTTACCAGAAGAAGCAACAAAGTCAAAAGTACAAATGGGTCTACCTTGGTGCAACATTAACAGTCCTATTGCTCAAACGATTCATCAACAACAGGCTCCTCAAAAGCCTTCTCAACTTTATCTTTCCTAATTTATTTTTTCCTCTTCCTGGCCTATTCAACAACTAGGGCCTCATTGTCAGGAACAACACTGGAAGGGCTAGTAGTTCCTCTCTCAAACTTCACCTCCATCAGGCTCTTCTGTTCAACCTTGACTTCGACGATATCTTGGACAGAAGAAGAACTGAAAGCCTCAGCCTCCATATTAACAAGCACCATTCTTTTCATCATTGACCTTCCTCTTACGAAACTGGGGACAAAAGAACGAGTTCTCTTAGTAGAATGACTTCAAGCACAGCGATGATTAGTAACCAGAAGGACATGAAGTGTTTTCGTTTCAATATCAAAGTCTAACAAGGCAGCGGCGAGTTTGTCCTTCTTCGGGATCATAGTTTAGTAAGTGGCTTGGTAGACAGTAATTTGGGAGTAGATCTCTTCTTGTACCTAAGGGCAGCCCTAATCGCTTCAGTGTTCTCTCGATTTGGCCTCCTCTGGTAACGAAAAGGCTCTGCAAAACAATAAGCACAATTAGCAAGCCAACTAGATAGAATAGATAAGGGAAAAACTAAAAAAAAAAAAAAAAAACTCAAATACAATGACAGAGGCCAAGACCTGGATATCCGTCTTTCTGGGCATCTTTTCGGTCAAGATTTCAATTCTAGTAGGGAACTCCCAATTTCCACCGACTTGGAGGAAATCATCATTGTGTTTGTTAGAATCAAGCAGGTCAGTCACAAAATAGGAATCAACAGACCGAACATAAAGGTAGTACGTGTTGTGGTCTTTGTTATAGGAAGGGATATAACAGCCTAGAATGTCCCAGACATCCAAGTTTAAGCCAAGTTTCCTATTCAAAGCCGAGACACTGCATATCACTCAAAAGATATTGACAGAGACTTGCATCGGTGTCAGATAGACCTAATAGAGAAATTGAAGAACAAGGGGTTCTAAGGGTAACCTTACTGCTCGCTCGATAATGGCATCGACAGGAAACGCAGCAGTAGCCTTTGTCCCCATACGCTTGGCATTGACCCTAGCTAGCATAAAGGTTACATCATTTGGGATCCCATAATTGTGACGAAACAGGGCCATCGCCTTCAGAGTATCAACAAGGGCGCAGAGCTTACCCATGATCTAGATCAAAATCAAGAAAAATAAGGCAACTCTAAGAATAGGACAAAAACAGTGCGAATCATCCGAAACAATGGCACAAGGGCCAAGAATGGCCATGGAGATTGAAAAACACAAAAAGCAGAGAGATCCAACGGTGCTTACAGAGGTATAATGGATGAACAACAAACGCCAAAGAGGAATGAGGGCTCCAAAGCTTGAAATCAATAAGAGGCAGTGATGCCTTGGAACCAACATCACCGGAAGTAGACATGGGTGAGAAGAACCATCAGAACCAAAACGAGAGAGTGAAAGAGTTATTAGAAGTTCAAACTTTGGGAATAAGTGAAAAGTTAAAAGGACAACCTCTAAGGTTTTTAGTACCCTCAACAGATGTGATGGTATAGGCCATGTCCCCGTACAAAGAACGACGCACTATCTTTTTGCATTAACGTCCCACTGTCACGTGTCCCTACGAAAGAACACATGCGGAGTATGTGTGTCAGAATGCGAACCGCCACCAAGGCTAAATTGAAGAAGGAACCGAAACAATGTGATAATTGAATCACTGATCAAGTAGCTCACACCAAAGAAACCTTAACGCAAGCTAGGGACAAATGAAAGGGTTAAATATTAATGGAACGGGTCCAAGCCTTGGGCCGACCCAAACCATTGAGCCCAAACCTGAATTGCCATCTGACATGAGTCAGATACCTATTTGGACAGGATCATATTGAGCCTAACTCTATATGGACCATCTTCCAAAGTCCACAAGTACTTGGGACATGCTTATAATGACAAGACCAGCCCAGATGAGGTAGTGAGTTGGGTCGAACCGATGGGTCGTACCCATCAGCAAAACCAAAGTGGATTGAACCACACAAAGTCATCCAAATGGGCTAGACCATCTCTACAAGCAAGCTCATGAAAGGCCGAACAGAGGTATAGTTGAGTTCGAGCTAAGGCATCCTCAAACAGGCATGGAAATTGTGAACATATGCATGTACAGAATGCCACCTCAGCTAGTCCTCCCCTCTCTAGAATCACAAAAACAGTTGCAGAGAGAATGTGATTTGTTACATACACAGTTATAATAAACATATGCCTCCATGGCTAACCACCTTGTGGTTCTCCACCTTGAGCAATGATAAGGAGAGCTTTGAGGCAGCCAAGTTCCATGAACCTCACCTTGGGAAAAAAGCTAAGTCTCCTATATACGTAAACACTCTCTTCACATTAAAGATATCTCCTTCCACCTTATTGCATGTCAACTAGTCTCAACTCAGCTTTTTCTCTCTCTACACCTAGAGAGAGAATTTCATCTTCTTCGATCACTTATTCTCACATAGAAAGGGTTTTCCGGCCAACCCCAGCTTAACGGTGCTCCATTTTGTAGGTTCGAAGTTCCTAGATAGCCCCAAATCAGTCATGAAGCTCTTATCCACTCATTTAGTGAGGGAATCGGCACGCACAGATAGTTATTCTTAAAATTATATTTGTCATCCATTTTTTCAAAACAAATGTGATTCAAACATATAGTTATCGATGTCCAATCATCTTGATGTTTTGCATGAATATTCACCTCAATGAATCAAAAAAAAAAGTAAATGGTTTGGATCACCAAAATCGATTCCAAAATGAGCCTTTCAAATCCAAACGCTCTCTCAAGTTGAGATGACAACTTGAGAGAAGCCAAACTCTTGGATTAAATGCTGAATGATGATGGAAAAAAAAAAAGTGTTGGAGAAGATCCGAATCTTTGACCTGTAACGCAACATAGTTCAAGTGCAAATGGCAAAATCATCATCAAAAAGAGTAAATTACACGTATAATTTGTAGTCTTTTTTTAAAAAAATTTTAATTTTAGTTCTTATATTTGTAATTGTATCAATTATATTTTGAAAATTTTACATTATGTCAATTTAGTCCAATTGATAAAGCCTTTTAGAAATTGGACTAAAATAAAAAGAAAATAGTTTATTCACTCTCCTAAAATTGATTAAAGGATTAACGCTCAATTTGTAATGGTCCAATCTTTTTTGAATAAAACAATTTATCTTTGATTTACATTAAAACTTTTAACAAATATTATCAATTGACACAATATGTAAAATTAAACGATAAAATTGACACATGTATAATTTACCAAAAAAAAAATCAACAAAATACTGAGTGAGAACAAACAAAAGTAATTGTAGAGCAAATGGGGTCTCTGCTTTGGTACAAGCAACATCACAATTATCATTTGCACCAGAGTACAAGTCGCTCTTCCATGTTTTCGTAATTACTTTATTTATTCCTACTAATTAAAACACACTCTGAACATAACACCAAGTTTCTTCTTCTTCTTCTTATTTTTGTATGTTTGTTGATATAATACAATATCACAAATTGAAATTAAGAAAAAGAACATCCAATGTGTTCCCACAATGTGGTTCACTTAATTACATGAAAAATTAAGAAAATAAAATTAAAGGTGGTTTTGGTTGTGTGAGGAAATAGTAGTAGTAGTACTAGATGGAGGAAGAAGAGCACCTTCTAACCTAATATAGTCGTACATGACCCCATGGAAAGGGCTAGTGTTCATTGCTTGTGTAAAAAAGAGTGTATTATCACCTTGCCTTAGTTGATCACAAGGTATATCCACATTGAACAAATAATAAAGCCCATGAATGCCATGCCTTGCAATTGCATTGTCTTTCCCGCACTATCTTTTTGCATTAACGTCCCACTGTCACGTGTCCCTACGAAAGAACACATGCGGAGTATGTGTGTCCCTATCAATCCACTTGAAAATTGTGAAGGATTTGCATGTTCATCATTGATTCGAACCTTTTCACACACATAAAAAAACTCGATTTTGATGATTGTTGATTAATATACTGTATTAGTGACAAATTAGATGATATAACATTATTATTTATCAATTTGATTGTACCTCTAATTCAGAATGTGTTGCAGAGGCGAGTGCTAGGCGCAACTTGTAGGTTACAGTTTGATACACATTTTCAAGTTTAAACTTAATTTGCCATGTGGTCGTTTTGTATGTATTGTCTCCAATTTTCCTGACATGTAACGTTGCTTGTTAGCTAAATATAATAAAATGATATTGATAATAGGATGAATTTCATCAAAAAAAATTTCGTAGGTAGGATGATGCACGTGTATGATTGTGTGCACATAACCCTTTAATTAGTAACTTATGCTTTCTATACTTCGGCGTCGTCTAGGCTTCGTTTGGGAAGCTATAGTTTGGGTTTTTTTGGCTATTTTAGTCACAAAAAATAAAATAGGCTATTTTAACCATAACAAACAAAACATCACATCCAACTCATAATCATTGCATTCTTCTCTCACAAAAAAATTCAAAAAAGCCAAAAGGCCAAAAAGTCTTTTCCAAACCAAGCTTTTAAGCCCAGGCTAAAATAGCCAAAAAAATCAAAAAGTCAAAAAGCCAACACACTTCCCAAACGGAGGCTAAAAAAATTATATATATATATATAATCTTTAGTGATCTTTTTTTAAAAATTATGTCAATTTTTTTTTTCTACCATCCAGGCCTGTCTTGAGTAAATAAATCTAAAAATTTTAAAAGTGCAATTTAGTAAAGACAAAAAAAAAAAAAAGAGTTAATTTTTTTTTTTGTCCTTTCTAAACTATTTTTAATTTTTTTTAAAAAAAAACATTTTGCGTCGGTGTAGTCAACTACAACTGAAAAGTGTAAAAGTTTTTCAATTTTTTTTTAAAAAAAATTACTAAATACAGAAAAAAAAACCCCCCCCAAAAAAAAATAAAAATAAAAATAAAAATAAAAATAAAAATAATACGCAACCCCAAAAGAGGTTAGTTTTGGAAAATTCATACCTATTGACTTGAGCGAAGAACCAATCTTTTCCATAATCACTAACACCAACAGTATAAACTAAGTCTTCATCAGGATATAAATCTGCATATCTTTCCCATAATCCATATTGCCTAAATCTGCATCCATCAAAAGTTTTAAATTGGGTTTATTTATTTCCTTATCATTTTGAAGTCTAAAATATTAACAAATTTTTTTGGTGTGATGAGATGGTTTTTGGTTACCCAAATCAATAGTTAAATGGTTAGTAAAGAGAGCTAAGCTAACCTGTCAGGATGATTAACATAGAGTTTGTTTATGTATTTAGGATTAGGTTCAGGAATGTAGAACTCTGCAGCAGAACGATCAGGGATGCCTATTTCCCACAGTGTTGGCCCAGCTCTTGGAGGCTCATATACAAGATCACCCATATCCATTTCACATCCTGTTTTTTTTAGGTGCAATTTAAATGACAATAGTATATAAATTCATAAAATCAAAAACAATACAAACACTTTTTTTTTTTTTTTTGAAATAAATTATACTCGTGATTTTTGTCATTTGTGTTTTGTATAAATTTGGGAACTTTAATTTCAATTTTAATAATTTTGCTCTTTAATTTTTGACATTATATTAATTTAGGTCAATTGATAACTTTTATTAAGAGATCGATCAAAAATTAAGACTAGCGTAAAAAATCAAGACTAGAACAGTCCGTTTAAAAAGGAATGTACTATTTCAAATTGAATGTTGACATCTCAATCACTTTAAGGAGAGTGAATGAACTATTTTGCTTCTTGATTTTTGTACAATTTCTATAAGGCATTATCAATTGAAATAAATTTACTCAAAGTGAAAAATTCAATTGCAAAATCGATGCAATTAGAACTATAAGAAACAAACTATATGACTACAAATATAATATATATACTTATATATCTATATATATATATATTTTTTTTTTTATATATATATATATATATATATTTGAGAAAAATACACACATACATCCCAGGAATGCAACCAAGACAATGTTGTGTGTAACTTCTTGTTTTTTTGTGTGTGTGTGTGTGTGTGTGCGCGCGTTTTTGTAGTAGGTGGATGAGTATAGTCAGGAATCAGGATGAATGCAATGCAATCAACATTTTTTTTTGGGGGGGATGAATACAATGCAATCAAATTCCTCTTTATTGATGTAATTCTTCATACTATGTATTTACTTATCATCAATAAAGTCTTTTCTTTTGCCGATCAAAAAAAATTGTGTGCACATTTATTCATTTAGTAAAATTTTTTGTAAATGTAGCATTATTGCATAAAATTTGAACACAATAGAAAACCTGAGGTTATGATGATGGAAGCATTAAGACGATAATCTCCAATAAAACCAGGTACCCATCCATAAAGATTATAGTCGCCCGTGAAGATATTCTTGATGCAAAAATAACCTTCTTCATCCGTTGTAGTCCAAAATTGGTAGCCCTGATAAGAATTTCATATAAGATAATGACTTTGACGGGGTGTGGGTTGAAAGATCATTTGTTCTTAAATCTCTTATCTTTGTCTTAAAACATTCATGGTTATTAGATCATACGAATATTTTGAAGTGAAAAGAGGTATAACCTAACAATTGTGCATGTTTTGAAATAAAAAGACACACACACACACCCAAAAAATGAAAAATGAGACAGAGGATCCCATGCCTATAATATGAGGTACAATAAGCAAGAAAATAGTGATTTTGGAGCAAGTTAACCAATTTCACCTTGGTTTCCCTTTGCCATGATCCAGTTTCTCCCTCTAGAGCTAACCCTACGTATGCACCTTTTGTGGGCAGAGGTTGTTCACTTGCACACCTAATCAAAATCCAATTACACAAATATGATCATCTATTGGAAAAAAGCAATATAAATTCGCAAGGAAACTCTGGAGTAAGGTTTAAATATCAGTTGATATATAATGTATCGGTCAATAAGTATTTGTGTGTGTGTTTTTTTTTTTTAATTTCTTAATACTGGTGGATGTTAGTACATATAATAGTAAATATATTTTGTACATATATATTATATAGTACTATATATTATTTCCATATTAGGATTTCCTTTCTTATTTACCACTCTTCCTTGCCTATACATAATAGGCCTTCATTGTATTGTATAAATATACACAATAATATTGAATATTCAATATAATATTTTCCTTCTCTCTCTCTCTCTCTCTCTCTCTCTCTCTCTCTCTGTCTCTTATATATTGTAATACAGCAATACTAGGTATCATGAAAAGTTTTTCATGAAAATGATCATGAAAGATTTGTGACCTTTAGATTACACTTAGAATAAAACACCACACACTAATCAAAATAATCTAAGGGTCATAAATCTTTCATGATCATTTTCATGAAAAAATTTTCATGATCCCTAACATTTCTCTTTGTAATATGGTATCAGAGCACAGATTTTGAACCTTGCTCCTTCGCTCCCTCACCAGCACTCTTAACCACCGAAAACAGTTTCTAGCATATCACCAAATCAACCCGATTTGTTACTAATTTGCGGCTCTCTCATCAATGATCATAATCACAAAATAAAGCCACCAAACCCTTCTCTCCAGGACGATTTTGATGCTGCCAACCTCGCTTCGAAATAACAAACCACGCGCCTACATGCGTCTCCTTTTTCGTAGCGCGTTAGACAACATACCACCACTCTCAAAACGTGCATCCGCGTGCCTTTCACTGACGCTTCATGCGGCACGCCTCCTTCACGCCTGCATCTCATCGCTGTCGTCGCTGATGTCACTCGTGTCTTCACTGACATCAGCCCACTCGATTTCTACTGACGCCGTCGCACGCCTGACTGACGTCATCCGTACGCTTCTTGGGACATCAGCCGATTTAGCTAGACCGGATTTGTCCATTAATTTGGCCAATTCACTAAATTTCAGCCCCATTTTCAATGTATTAGGGCTGATTCGCAAGGGGTTTTTTTGCATTTTGAGTTCAGTGGTCACCTCTGTTTTTCCAGATTTTGTTTTTTTCTGCACTGCTCTTTGTATTTTCTGTATAAATAGATTGTTCCAACCCTGCTCAACCATTTTTTGTGGTTCTTAATGGCACCAATTATTTTCTCTGGTCTCAAGCTATGTTTGCCTTTCTCAAAGGTCGACAATTATGGTAAGTTATTACTAGAGAATTGAAGCAGCCAATCCAAGCCACAGATGAAACTGAAGCCAAATTTCTTGACCACCTGGATGCATGGAATGGTAAAAATTATCGCATCATTACCTAGTTTCAGAACATCTCTACCACTTCAATTCATCTTCAGTTTGGGCAATTTCAAACTGATACAAACCCTACTCTTACTAAATCCATATAGGACTTTCTCAAAGATCGATATCGCACTACTAGGCTTTTCCATCGGTATCAGATTCGAACTAGGCTTCATGGTCAACGTCAGGCACTAGGTTAGTCCATTGATGATTTGTTATCACCCATGTATAGTTTATGGGATCAGCTGTCTATTTGTGAGCCTGTTTGGGTTGATAACAAAGATGCCTAGTCCTTTGCTGATTATAGCAGTGAAAATCGCTTGGTAGAGTGTCTTATGGCCCTTACTCCTATTTTTTAGCCTATCCAAGCTTCTTTACTACACCAGGATCCTGTACGCACTCTAGAATAAGCTGTGACTGAACTCTTGTGTGAAAAGACTTGTCGTACTCTCAAGACCACTATTGACATTGTTCTTGTTGTTCCTCACACGCAAACTCTTTTTGGCTCCTTCACTCAGATTTGTCAGTACTGTAAGAATCGAGGTCTCAGTTTTAGTCTCTTTTTTTTTCATTGTCTAGTTAGGGATTGTCATAATTGCCACAAACAAAGGTCTGGTCACTTTGAACATCACTGTCCCCAGAAATAATCTCAAAATAACCCCTTACCTGGGAACTTAAAAGGGGGTCACTATAAACCAAGATCTCGGTATAAGCCTACCTCTCAATCTGCTACCACTACCGCTGAGGATTATTCTCCTCTTATAGACCCATCTGCTCCATATTATTCTCAAAATGATATGATGGCCATGCTTTAATAGACTCATTCTAGTACCTCTCATAACACTACCTTAGCTATTACCTCAGGTAGCTCTTCTTGGTTCTTTGATTCTGTATGTTATAATTATATGACTTCAGATTCTACTCTTTTACTTCTTCTAGTACTTTGTCTACTATTCATACTGCTGATGCCACTCACATGTCTATTAGCCATATTGGTAGTGTCTCTATCTCTACTGTGTCTTTCTCTGATACTTATCATATTCCTGCCCCACCCTAAATTTTATGTCTATTGGTTAACTTTGTGAACTTGGTTTAACTATTCTCTTTTCCTTCTCTGGTTGTCAAGCTCAGGATCTGCAGACAGGACAAACTATTGGGATATGGTGTAAAACTGAGCATCTGTTTGACCTCATCCATCTCTATCTACCGTTTTCTATACCTACTACTCAGCACGTTGTATCCACTCATTCTCTTGACCTTTGACATTCATGTTTCTTTTGGTCGGCTGCATACTTTAGTATCTAGTGGAAATTTAGGCTACGTTTCTTCTAATTCTAATAATGATTGTCCATCTTGTTAACTTGCTAAACAGCCAGCTTTGTGTTTTAATACAAGTGATTCTATTTCAAAATTTTCATTTGATTTAGTTCACTCTGACGTTTGGGATCCTTCTCCCAATACCACTATAGTGGGCTTCAGATACTTTGTCATTTTTATGGATGATTATTCACGATTCGCTTGGATTTATATTTTAAAACAACGTTCTGAGCTACCTCTAACTTATTTTGATTATGCTAAAATGATTAAAACTCAATTTGGTTATTCTATCAAAGTTTTCCGATCTAACAATGCTCAAGAATATAAAGAAACTAGTTTTTTAAAACTTCCTCATGAGTATGGTACACTTCTCTATTGCTCTTGTCATCACACCTCCGAACAAAATGGTCGTGTTAAACGCAAGCATAAGCTCATTCTTGATACAGTCAAAGCTCTTCTCATATTTTCTTCTTGTCCTGAGCGTTTTTGGGGTGAAACTACCCTTACAGTTGTTTACACTATTAACCGTATTCCATCTCCTATCATTAACAATCAAACCCCATATGAATGTCTCCCTGTTACATTTGTTTCCTACACAGAACTTCGAGTCTGTTTTGTTCCCATTCCTCCCCATGAACGCAACAAGTTACAATTGCGGTCGCGACTGTGTTGCTTCTTAGGCTATGGCATAGAACATAAAGGATTTCGATGTTGGGATCCTGTCTCTCACCGTATTCGTATCTCTCGCCATGTCACTTTTTGGGAACACAAAATGTTTCCTCCATCTCCAAATTCTCTTCCTTCCACTTCCACCATCTCATATTTCATTGATCCTTCCATTGATCTTTTCCCTAATAATGCTCCAACAGATGCCTTTCCATCCAATGGTTCTCTAGTTATTCCTGATGATCTTGTTCTGCCTGCTGATCTTGCTATGTTACCATCTTCTCATTCCTCTAGCAGTGGCTCTCCCGATGCTCCCTCTATTGTACCTCTTTCAAAACAGGTATCTAAACAACCAGGTAATTTACAATATTACCATTGTTTTTCTACCATTCTAAGTCAACATGAACCTTATACCTATAATAAAGCTTGTACTAATCCTCTTTGGCAGCAAGCAATGGCATATGAGTTATAGCCTTTACACAAGACCTATACATGGAATATGGTTGCTCTTCCTCTTGGCAAAACTCCTATTGGTTGTAAATGGGTCTATAAAATCAAAACTCATTATGATGATACAATTGAACGTTATAAAGCATGTCTTGTTGTGAAAGGTTTCACTCAAGAGTATGACATTGATTATGAGGAGACCTTTGCTCCTGTTGTTCGCCTTACATCTGTTTGCAGTTCACTTGTTGTTGCTGCCTCGCATCAATAGGGTTTATCTCAGATGGATATTAAGAATGCCTTTCTTATGGTGATCTTACTGAGGAAGTTTACATGCAACCTCCTCTAGGCTATGAGCATTCTCCATATACCGTTTGTCGCCTTCGTCGTGCTCTCTATGGCCTCAAGCAGGCTCCTCGTGCTTAGTTTTCCAAGTTTAGTGTTACCATTGCTCAATTTGGGTTGTCTTTTAGCTCCTACGATTCTGCTCTTTTTATTTAGAAGATGGCATGCGGTATTACCCTTTTACTGCTTTATGTTGATGATATGATTATTACTAGTGATGATCTTGATGGCTTTCAAGAGCTGAAACATTTCCTCAACTCTCATTTTGAGATGAAAGATCTGGGTTCCCTTAGTTACTTCCTTAGTCTTGAGATTTCTTCTGTTTCATCTCACTCAAGCCAAATATGCATCTGATCTCTTATTTCGTGTTGGTCTCATGGATAGCAAGATTGCTTCTAAACCGCTTGAGGGCACTCTCTTTTTTTATGCAACTTTGCATCGACAATTAGTAGGTAGTTTGGTCTATCTGATTATTACTCGGCCTGATCTCTTTCACGCAGTTCACATAGTCAGTTAGTTTTTGTCTGCTCCACGATCTCCTCATTATGTTGTTGTTCTTCGTATTTTTCAATATGTAAAGGGTACTTTGTTTCATGGACTTCATTACTATGCTCACACTTCCCTTGAGTTATGTGCATATTTTAATGCTGACTAGGTCGATGATCCCACTGATCGTCGCTCTACTACTGGTTATTGTTTCTTTCTTGGAAGTCCATTGATTTCTTGGAGGAGTAAGAAGCAAACTATTGTCTCCAATTCCAGTACTGAGGCAGAATATTGCGCTCTTGCTAACACCACTCAGGAACTTTCATGCCTTTGTTGGTTACTTGCGGACATGGGTGTACTTTATTCCACTACTACTACTCTTCATTGTGACAATCGTAATACCATTCAAATTACTCACAATAATGTTTTTCAACCAAACGCATCGAGATTGACTATCATTTCATTTGTTAGTATGTCATTAGTGGCATTGTCCAACTCCAGTATATTTTTTCCACCACTCAAGTTGCTGATCTATTTACTAAAACCCAACTTCTTGGTCATTTTCATGAGTTATTTTCCAAACTCTAGTTGGTCTCTTTGAAACCAGCTTGAGTTTGAGGAGGATTGTTAATAAATATAATAGTAAATGTATTTTGTATATGTATTATATAATAATATGTATTATTTCCATATTAAGGTTTCCTTTCTTATTCACTACTCTTCTTTGCCTATATATAATAGGCCTTCATTGTATTGTATAAACATGCACAATAATATTGAATATTCAACATAATATTTTCCTTCTCTCTTACATATTATAATAATGGCGATAAAAATCCCTTATGTATTGATTGGTTCGTAGTACATATTAATTTATAGTCAATTCATAACTGGGTTAGACTATTATAAAACTCTTCTCATGTCTGATGATTTTAAAACATTCATGATTGTGTTACCCAATTCTCGGTTTGACCGTCGTTCAATATTGTGATACTGCTACGTCAAAACCGATGCTGATTTGTTCCTATACTACTATTTAAAACTTGCTCTAGAGGCTTCATGAGTGCTAAAATTGCGACCAAGTTGATTATTCATTAGTCTAAATTGATTACTTGGGTTGAATTGCCCTAGATATGACAACTATGACAATGCAAACTTTTGAGTTTAATTGAACCAAGTGAAACTGGAAAAGGCATAAAAGAACACACCTATCATGCACAAGAAATTTGCCAATGACAGTACCCCTTTGATCAGACTTTGGAAAGTCCTCTGAATTTGGGAAACTGTATGGCCAACTTTGGACTTCAACCTTCATCTGAACATTAGTATGTAAGAAAAAAAAAGAATTTAAAAAGGCAAAAAAAAGTCATATGATTCATATCTATATTACTTGTTTGACAAATTCCTAAAAGCTTGCTTACCAAATTTTAACATTATCTACTAGTGTAAATGTCATTTTGGTATTTTTAGACCATTACTTATTTCTCTTTGTTGAAAGTCTCAGACTATTGGATCAAAACCTCTTTTGGGTGAGCTAAGTTCACACAAATGACATTATTAAATCTTGTGCCAAATTTAAAATAAAGTTTAATGATGTCATTTTTTAACAGTTGTTTTGGCAAACCTTTGAGAAAGATTTTTGAGTTTAATTGAACCAAGTGAAACTGGAAAAGGCATAAAAGAACACACCTATCATGCACAAGAAATTTGCCAATGACAGTACCCCTTTGATCAGACTTTGGAAAGTCCTCTGAATTTGGGAAACTGTATGGCCAACTTTGGACTTCAACCTTCATCTGAACATTAGTATGTAAGAAAAAAAAAGAATTTAAAAAGGCAAAAAAAAGTCATATGATTCATATCTATATTACTTGTTTGACAAATTCCTAAAAGCTTGCTTACCAAATTTTAACATTATCTAAATGTCATTTTGGTATTTTTAGACCATTACTTATTTCTCTTTGTTGAAAGTCTCAGACTATTGGATCAAAACCTCTTTTGGGTGAGCTAAGTTCACACAAATGACATTATTAAATCTTATGCCAAATTTAAAATAAAGTTTAATGATGTCATTTTTTAACAGTTGTTTTGGCAAACCTTTGAGAAAGATTTTTAGAGTGGAGTTATTATAATTTTCTAATATAGCAGTCATTGTAGGAGCTTACTAAAATTGCTCTTATGCCATTGAAAAATACACACACAAATATATTTATTTCTTATCGTTGCCAAATGTTTTTACTTTTTTAACTAAAAAAAAAAAATAAAACACTCTTAAGTAGAACCAAAAAACAGGCTTTCAGGAATTGCCAAACCTAGCCCAAATATACCAAATTTATTTATTGTATTGTCATGTCATACCTGTTCTTTGGCATTGTCCCAAAGTGAAAATGCATTATTTCTATCAGAGACAGAATTAAGATAAATAAAAACTGGTCCAAAAACTTTCTTCCATGGCTCCCCAGATCCAATTTGGAGTGACAATTCCTCTCCTCCATAATGGGCACTTACAAACATCTATTAATATCATATAATTTGATCAATATAATTTCACTTAATTAAACAGTTCATATATACAGATTATTGAAATGAAGAGAGGGCATTAAGGACATTATTGAAATTTACTATGGGAAATATCAATTAGTGAGGAAATAGTCACATACAGCAAGAGTAGTTGGATTGACATGAGAGGTTAGATCCTGTTTGGTTGGACCCCCAGTTCTGAACTCATTGCTGGGACAGATTTGCCAAAACCCAACTGGTGGATCAAAGCATATCCACCCATGAACCCCATTATCTTTGTTCTCAATTGAATACTGATACTTGTCATCCACCTACATATATATGGGAAGATCAATGAAAGAATTAAGAGTAATGTTATATACTGTATGGAAAGAAAAAAAATACATACATAAAATTTTTACAAAATCATGTGATAGAATTTGAAGACCTAATAAAACAATGAATTTATCATTATCCTTTTCAATTACAGAAATATCAACATCATTTTTTGTAGAAGATTTTGTGTAAATTTTTTGGAAGAAACATTTTTCAAGAATTAATCGCATGATATAAGAATTGCTATGTTGACAGTGACATAACATATAGTAAAATATACTGAGTCTTGGGCCCATCATATGATCCATTTTGATGGTCTATTTTGTTCATCATTTAAATTCCTATTCATAGATCATTCATATAAAAATTTAAACTAATTTGATAATTGCAGATATAAATGAACGACAAGTATGTTATGTTTTTGTAATTGGCAATCCCATTGAACAAAACTCCATTCAGTTGTATTTTTATTTGTTGTTGTTTTTATGAGTTATGAGAGTTTAGATACGAATCCAACTCGAATTGTACCTGTATAGAGGAGTTTGCGCTTATATTCCGTATCTTGACTTGAGTATCCTTTATTTGTCACTTCGTTTACTACGGGGATAATGCTCGAGCTGTCTTCTGTGCGCTGGAGCGGTAAAGTAGTTCATCTAGTATCTCTGCTTTCATTCTAAACTGCTAGGAAGCATGTTTTACAGCTCGAGTGGTACATGTTGCGCTCGGGTGGTTAGCCTATATGTGAGCACCGCCTTTAGTCACACCACTCGAGCAGTAAAGTGAGCAATCTTCACTGTTCTATTTAGTATAAAGTACAATGTTTGCTATTTTTAGGGTTGAATCCATCCAGATTCTTAGAAAGGGAGAGAAAACAGTGTGTTCTATATTAAAGAGTGTTTATATATTATTTTTCTTGATGATTTGAAAGTGATTGATTGATCAATGAGCTTTATAGTGACTGTCATCAAGGGTTAGTTTATTCTTTCATTCACAGAAAGAGAGAGGTGTTCTTCGGTGAATTCCGGAGAATTTGGATCTGAAACTTTGGTGGATTTTAGAGTGATTCATCATCGTCAATTTGACATCAATGGTTTGGATTTAACGTTGAGTAAAGCAATTCCAAGGTGAAAAAGGTGGTGGAAGAGACACATCAAGTTCAGTTCAATTCGGGTGTGGATTCGCTAGATAATTGAGAGTTCTCATGTGTTATTCATTTTTTATTTTCTTAGTAGATTGTTTTGTGACTTTGACCTGTGATTTTTTATCATAATTAGAGGAGTCCATTTGTAATTTTTTCCACCTTAAATTATTGTGCCGATTTGTTGTTAATTATTTAATTGGAATGGCTATTCGTTATTTTAAAATTGAATCATAATCACAAATTACTATGTCAGGCATTTTTAAAATTTTCAAAATATTATTTTGAAAACATATTATTAAATTTTTTAAAAAATAATATAATAAAATCCTATGATTACTATTGTAGATTAGTTTGATTTTTTCATTAATGACCTTCACATGGCCGAAAAAGAAAATTGACATCATCATCGAAGTGGGCCATTTGGTGTTTACTGGATCCAAACTAATGTTCAAAATCTGCCCTCTCAACTAATTGAAGAGAAGTGCGTCTCTAAAATATATATGATTTGTGAGAAAAGATATTATTCTCCAAGTGGAAATGCCATGTACTTAAAGGAAAAAATCAAACAATGATCTCTTTTAAAGTTTGAAGAAAATGCATCAAATCTTTTATATTTTACATAATTATCACTTTCCTTTTAATAAAATTAAAGACGTCGAAATTAATGCAAATGACATAAAAATATAAAAATAAATAATGTCTAATATACATTTTAGTGTAAATTAAATTAAAACATCATTTTTCATCTACAGGACAAACAAAATTTTAATGAAAATAATGTTAAGTGTCATATAAATTAAAATTTTAAGGAAGCTCAATGTTATTATGCTAAATTTGTGATATTTACTATATTTTCTATAAATCTTAAGGAAGTCGGTGTAATTTACTCTAAAAAAATGTTGAGAAGATGAATTTATGGTGTTGATTAAACTAGGTGTGATGGAAGTCATACTAAAAATGAATAATTTTCTTTTAATTTTATTGTTTATTGAGAATATAACCACGGGAAAACTATTACGGGTGGCTCTATCTACACACCACCTTTTCTCTCAAGGCAAATCATTAATTAATTTTTTTTTATTACAATTTTAACCTTAAGTGAAATGACTATAGAGGACAAGTTATGTTACACATCATTTGTGTATTTACCATAAAGGACAAGAATGAATATAATTTAAATCATCAATTTCAAACTTGTTCCTTACGTATCTTTTTTTCAAGAATACAAAAAACTCTTCAACAAATAATCAAAAATATAGTATTATTGAAGATTTTGAATGAATTCAATGAAGGATGCATCTGACAACTTTGATTCGCAACAATGGAGCAAGGAAGAGGTTATTTTTTTGTTGTTTTTGTTTTTGTTTTCGTTACTTGCTGAGTGGTAAATAGTTGGTACAGTTCGGGTAACCAGAGATGGATGTTATATCATTGTTCAACATACTACGGTCGAACAAAATGCCTTTGTTCAACATACTACGGTCGAACAAAATGGCTTTGTTCAACATACTACCATCGAACAACATGTCTTTGTTCAACATATTACGATCGAACAAAATGCCTTTGTTCAACATACTACGGTCAAACAACGTGTTCAACATACTACAGTCGAACTTTATTCGTATATTCGGTTAACAAAAATCGAGCAATTTCATTTAATTCGACTCTGTACTGCCGAACATTTACAATTTATTTTTTTTCAGAACGGAGCATCCGTGGAATGTAGTAATGTTGTGTTTTCAGCAATGGAGATAAGTGCATAAAACCCTAAAATAAATAATAACTCACATACTAAATCTCCAATGTGAAGTTCCAGCTGTGTTGAGCAACACCACAGACGACGTGTGTTTTCAGCAATGATGTTCACCAGTTTGAATAGAGAATGGAGGGGGAGATGAATATCGTGGGTGTGGTGTGTGTGGCTGTGTGGGGGCAAAGATGGAACTTTGTGTGTATATTGTTGGGGTTGGTGTGTGAGTATGGATAAATATATAAATTTGTGGTGTGTGATAAGAACAATATTTATTTTTCAAATTATTTTTGGTGTGTGTTTAGAAATGGTTTGCCTTGAGATAACTTATGGTGTGTATATATAGAGCCTCCCAACTATTACTTAGTGAACTCCAAGGGAAATTTACCTAAAAATCCTATCTCAAAAAAATATGTATCAAAAAGTTTCATAAATTTTCTGGTAGACCATTATTGAATTTAACCATGAGGTCAATTCGCTATATTTTCTGGATATTCCAAATGTGGATATGTTTCATTTATGCATTATTGTCTTATTAAATTTTTTTTTTCTTTCAAATGTGTCATTCTTAAAATGTGACAATAAGTCATCATTTTAATATGTGCACTATTATCTTATTACATTTTCAAATGTGGGCGTATGATTCATCGAAGAGATTTTAAGTGAGACAAGACTTATGGGTTCATAAAAATATTTACGAGACTAAATAATTCATAATTAAGTCATAGATATATGATTAGTAAATGGCCCTTTTTTGAAAAATTAATTATTGATTGATGAAAAAGTTTATGTGCAATTTTTTTTCAATACACACATGTAATTTTCCCTATAATCAATGAGGAACAAAACAAAATAAATAAATAAATATATTTGAAAGACATTGAATTGAATTGGTGTACCTCTCCTTTAAATTCAGGCTCCACAGGGTTAACAAGTAGGACTGCTTCTGGGTAGGCCAATGCTTCACCTCTTCCAGGCAACCGGTCATCCGGCAAGGGCATGTACCTTTGCCTATTATCTGCTACAGCCATGTATCTAAACCTAAAAGGTTCATGTTATATAGGGTAAATTACACTTTTAACCTTAATAATTTGATTTAATTTTACTCTTGTGTTTATTATTTTAAATTAAATAATTGTGTTGACCAAATTAAAATTAGACTTGAGTGTAGGATTTAAATTGTTTAAATGAAAATAATAGGGATCAAAGTAAAACTTTAAGCAGACTATAATTTTAAAAATTAGAATTTATTTTAATATATATACCACTTTAGATTTTCATATATTCTTTGCTCTGAACGTGCAAATATGATGACGTAATTATGCATATGTATGTATAACTTTTGATCTATTTTTTTTATAGATATTAACATTCTTATTAAAAAAAAAATTATTAAAAATATAAGAAGTTAAATATGATTGGTAATAAAAAAAAATAAGAAAAAATTACAAGGGTTTGACTCTTATAACAAAATAAATCATAAGTTTTTAAGTTTTTATCAATTTGAATCCTAATCAAATTTTAGGCATTAAATTCAATGAAAAATATTATTTTAAACATTTTATATACATCTATATTGAGTTTAATAACAAATTATCATTTTTTTGTCATTTCAAAAACCTCAAAGGGCATTTTTGTCAATTTTGTTGAATCTCAGGAGAGGTCATTATCATTTATCCTATTTTTAAAATATTTTTTTGGGGATACGTATCTTTTTTCTTCAACATGGATAATGTAATCTCACAAATAATAATAAGGAAAGATGAAGAAATGAAGGGTATGTAAATATATACTTCTCAACTTTGAGCATAAAAGCAATCCTTGTTTCGTAGAGGATCAAAGCAGGCATATCCTCTAAATGTTCATAAATGGCATATGAATAGAAACCTGAGGAACCACGAAGCATTATAAACCTGGGCGAAAAAAGACAAAAAAAATAAATCAATTAACATCACACTAAAATAAAATAAATAAGTCAGGTTTGGACGGGCCAATCCAGCCCGCTAGGCCTTTCACATATCGCACTTTGACAATTCATTTCATTAATTTTTTAGGTTCTTAGAACATCTCTCTCAAATTAGTTATTTTTATTTTTTAGTTAAAATAGCGAGTAAACCACTTAGATTACCTCTATCAAACTAGCTACTAAGTTAGTCATTTTAGTTTTTGTGATTTTGGATCAGTAAATGTAGCTAATGATTTCACCTAGTCAAACATTAAAAAATATTAATTTTCATATTTTGAAATTAATTGGGTTGAGTTTATAAAAAACAATTCTAAATTAAAATGAATAAAAATAATATTTAAATAATATAAAAAAGAATAGAGAGTTTATTAGACAATGTATTTAATTAAGTATATAGCCAAAATAAAAATAAAAAATAACTTCCATGTCAAAATATAACAAAATTTTAACTAGTTTGATTTATATAAAAAAATAAAAATAATTGAATTGATCTGATTATCATAACCACGTGATTTTATTTCTTGGTACACAAAAAGTTAGATAGTATATTTTTTAATTATATTTATTGTTTTAAAAACAAAGACAATAAATTTATGTGATTATGGTTATTGAATCAATATGATTTTTTTTTTTTTTTTAACATAAATGACCTATGCATAGGAACCACATAATGAATAAAATTAATCGTCCAAGCGAGACATATGCAAAGACCATTGGGTGGGATAGGACCATCCAATCCACTAATGTCTTATTTATATCGAAATAAAAAAAAAAAATTATCGAAATATTTTATAATTACAAAAATGTTATTACTATGTTATTTTGTATAAATTTATGTAGTATTTAACATTGTCCTAATACAAATTAAAGGATTAAAAGCAAATGAGAGTGAGGAGAGAGGGGGAGGGAGGACCTTTTGTCAATGTTTAAGGGGGAGTGGTTACCCTGAAGGGAGGTGTCCCATGGCCTTGTGAATGACAGCTCTACTTGTTCTTCCTTTTCCATTATCACCTTGAAGCTTGTTCCATTAAGCCTGCAGATTCATTGATCTTTGTGTTGCATCATTAACGAAACGGATCAAATTAATTTGATAATTATAATTGAACTTAGACGGTCTCCAGCTAGATTAGTCAATTAGACAGTCCAGTTTGACTCATTGTGGGCTCATTTTTTATCCATTTCAACGTTCTAAATCGTCAATGGCCCTGTTTGGTACAGCTTAATTTCAGCTTATTTCAGCTTTCAGCTTAATTTAAGCTATTTTGATGTGTTTGGTTTAGCTTATAACTTTGTGGAAGTCAGAAAACAGCTTATTCTTTGAGTGGGGCAGGATATGCTTTAAGAATAAGCTGGAAATCAGCTTAAGCTGAAAGTTATAAGCTATAAGCTGTTTAGGCATAAGCTATAAGCACTTTCCCACAGCTCTACCAAACGGGGCTAATGTGTAAGATTTGTCGGATATATAATTCCTATACAAAACCACATTGATCAGATATCAATAGTTTCTTAATCAGATCACATTTGTGTGAAAATTTTATTTTTACAATCATAATTATTATTGAAACAAATTTGATTTGATCAAGTAACTATCAATATCTGATCAACATGATTTTTTTGTAGGGATAAATTACTCAACAAGCTATATATATTCAACGATTCAAATTATTGATTATGAACTCCGTAAAGGGCCCACGGAAACTTAACAATTTGCTCCAGTTCAATTCCGAACTAGAGGAAGCTACTGCCATTATAATTTCATAATTTCATCAAATAGTGTCCATAATACAATCTGTCAACATTGTATTCTTCTTAGTGCGAGGCTGGCCCGGCCCAAGTATAAGCTACCTATGCTACCATTTGGGCCCAAATCAAGTCTAAAAACAAAATTTATTTTTGTTAATTTTGATTGTTAATTTTTTAGTTAAAAATATTAAAATATTAATGTTTAAATGATATTTTATTACAGTTGATTTAATTTTTTTGGTATTTATAATTTTAGTTTTCATTTGATTTTTTTTTCATGTAAAGTAGAGTTGTTATACTGTGAAGTAACAAATATTAATTTTTGTCTTTTTGAGTTGTAATGATTTTATTTTGATATTTTTTTTCTTGTACGGGGGTTTAAAAAAGGTTTAACCCTAGAGGGGTGATGTCTGGGTTAGACTCTAAGTCCCGTTTGTTTTCAGAGATAGAACGGAAGGGATTGATAGTGAGGGGTTTAATAGTGAGGGGATTGATAGTGATGGGATTAAGTAAAATTGTATTTGTTTTGATGATAGTTGTTAGTGTGGGGATTGCTAAATTATTTTTATATAAAATAAATATAAAATAATAAAACAAATAAAAAAATAAAAAAACATTAAACATTAATGTTTTTAAAAAAATGCCCAACATGTAAAAAATTTTAAAAAAATAAAAATAAAATAAAAAATTTGCAAAATAAATAAAATAATGATTTTTACTTAACAAAAAATAGAAAAAATTAAACATTAATATTCAAAAAAAATACCCGACATGTAAAAAATAGAATAAAAAATAAATAAAAAAAAAAATTTCTAATCCGCCGAACTATTTTTCTAATACCAAGTCCTACAGGTCTATCCTAATCCCCTTCCCAAGGAGATTCGTAGTCCGGAGGGGATTATGAATCCCCTCTCAATCTCTCAAAACAAACATGATATTAGTGGGTTCTACCTCACTATAAATTTCAATCCTCTCCTTATAACCTAAAACAAACGGGGCCTAAGGAATCAAAACTCTAGAGCTCACCTTTGGATGGTTCTACCTGGCAAAGTCACTTAATCATGTAGCAGTAAATAGTTGTACATAGACGGGGATTTGAACTCACACTCCTGACACTGGATATAATTCATCTAGGCATGGAAAGTTCATCATAGCAACCATATGTGTTGTCACCTAAGTGGTTGGCCTCGAAAAGACTAGAACCTGGGATCTCAATACTTATGCCTTGCGCTCTTACCAAGTTGTCACTCCTTGGGCTAGATTTAGACCAACGTTTGCTAAACTATGAAGCAACATACACACCCAAGTTTATCTTTGTGAGTTTTGTAATGATTTATTTGGATCTTAATCTATATAAACAAATTTTTGTATGTAATTTTAGTAATGATATATGTAAAACAATTTGTGTAGGTACTAGCAAATATGTATGCTGGGGTTCTTGCATTTTATTTTATGTTATTATGTAAATATGTATATAGAGCCTTAAGTTTTCTTAGGATAAAAAAAAAAAAATTAGAGAAAATTATAAAAATAAAAAATTTATAATTTAACTCTTATAACAAAACAAACGCTTAATTTTAATTTTATCAATTTAAATATTAATATTTTGATTTGTTTTTAATATAAACCATCTACCTATTTTTATTAAGTAAAATCAATGAAAAAAATACTATTTTAGCCAAAAGAGTATTTTAGATATTTTATGTACACCTACATTGAGTTTAATGGCTAAAATATCATTTTTCATTAGTTTTAATTAACAAAAATAGACAAAAGATTTGATTGAAAATAAATCAAAAATATTATGATTTAAATTGAGAATATTGCTATAAGAATTTGAAAAAATTAAAAAAAACTCAAAATTTATTTTGTTACATCAATCAAATTTTGCATTTTATTTAATAATTTTTTTCAAAAATATAAAAATGGCCTGTCTTAACGGAGTGTGGACCTCATGTAAAATAAATGCAATGCTATTTTTTTTTTTTTTTTTAAGTCTCCCACGGTATCCCCAGATTTAAGTCTCTCACGGTATCCCCAGATTATTTTAGACCCAGGACTAATCCGTTGAGGACGCTGTCGGGCGCATATGTGGGGTCCTCTCGCAAGAGGATTTGCTGCATCCACAAGGGCTTGAACTTGAAACCTTTGCTTAAACGACCCAAATCGCTTTTCACTTGGACCAACCCCATTGGTAAATGCAATGCTAATAGCTATCAACACAATATTTTAGACACGTTACGGACAAAAAAAAAAAAAAAAAAAAAAAAAAAGAAAAGAAGAAAAGTTTAAACTTCTCCACAAACAGAGAAAAAGAGAGAGGGTCATTACACATCAAATTGGCCTTTTGTTCCCATGTTTCCTGGGTCAGCCCAATTAAGGTCCCAGAACCTGCACATTAATTCCACCACGTATATAATATAAAAATTACACTACTATTCTTCCAGAATTTTCATAAAAATTACACTACTATTCTCCCAGAATTTTCATGCGGAATCATTTTCCAGAATTATATGTTAGTGAGAAATTAAAATATGTTTTTTTTTCTTTTTAAATATTAGGTTTATATTTGTGTCTCATCATTCTTTATATAATTTTTTGTTTGAATGTCATCATATATATTATTAAAAGTAGTATTTTTTTTATGTTTAGGTGACACATTATAAAGCTTTACTTTTTTTTAAGAGAACCACATTACCATACCTTTTCCATTTACATTATAAAATTCTACACAAACTCAACTTCAATTATAATAATCAATTTTACATGAACTCTATTTGAGAAATACTTATTTTTCATATATATACACATTCTAAAGTCTTATTTATTTATTTATTTTCTCAAAAAGCCACATCACCTTAGCTTTTCCATTTGCATATAAAGTTCTATACAAATTTAATTTCAATTATGATAATCAATTTTATATGGACTCTATTTAAGAAATACTTATTTTTCATATATATAATTTAAACTACACTTTCCTAATAAATAGTTTTAAAATAGATATTATAGAAAAATCAATACTCAACATAATTAATCTATCTATTTTTTCTTAATCTAATCGCAAGATGCTTATATTTAATTTTTTAAAATAAGTTTTTTTTATAACTTCTATTTCTACTTTTTTATTATTATTATTTTAACTGAAGAAAATAAATAAATAATTAAAATCACTTTTAATTGTATGTTACTATTTTTTTTCCAATTTAACTATTATTAATAATGTCAAATTGAGTGTTTGTTTTACTATGTTATAATTTAATATCATATAAAATCATTATATATTTATTTTAGTTACACATTAATAGTACGATAGGGCTAAGATTAGTCAAATACACATAAATAATTGAAATAAAATTATTATATATATTTGTTTAAATAACACTTTTACAGAAGGATACGATTAAGATTATTAAAATAAATAATTATAATCATTATATAATTTTAAATGAATTTTTTTCTCCAATTTAATCATTATTTTTAATATTAAAATGAATATTTATTTTATTATATTGAAATTAAGTATAAAAGTATCATATATATATATATATTTAAATTATACTTTCATAGTTTAACAAAACGAAAATTGCACTGCATATTTCGTAATATATTTTTTAAATAGTTCTATATAGATATACATAGATATATACATAAATAATTTAATTAAAATTATTATATATTTATTTATGCTATATTTTATATCATGATAAAATTAATATTATTCTTTTGTAATGCATACATTGCAACATATTTTTAAAAATAATTTATATGTACACATATATAAATAATTTAATTTAAATTTATAAAATATTATTTAAAAGGAAAAAAATTAACCAGTGTATCGCATTGGTTAACTACTAGTATATATACATATATATATATATATATACAAGTAATGTTTTTCCCTTTCTTATGTGACACATTCTAAAGGTTTACTTTTTTTTTTTTCTAAAAAAACATATCAGCATGCCTTTTCAATTTACATATAAAGTTCTATACAAATTCAATTTTAATTATAATAACCAATTTTATATAGACTCTATTTGAGAAATATATATTTTTGATATATTTTTTATTGTCTATTTAATTTTATAGTTGTCAGATTTCTTTTGTATAGTTGATATTTTAATATAATTATTATGATATTTTAAAAAAAAATCTCAATATACAAATTAAAAAAAAGAAAAAGACAGAATGTGCTTAATTATATGCATTGCACAGATCAAATTAATTTTATTTTAAATTTTTTATTTTTTCCTATCTTATTAATGTCTTAATATTAATTTATATTTAATTTATTATTTAACATGAAATTATTTATTACAAAATATTTATATTTAATTTAAATTTTATATACATATATACATTATGTATGAATAATTCCAAAAGAAATTAAAGAAAAAATCAATATTGTACATAATTAATTTATATATTTTCTTTTTAATCCATTCGCAACATATTTATATTTAATTTTTTAAATAAATTTTGTACATCCCTATTTCCACCTATTTTTATTCCAAATAAATATAAAAATAAATAATTAGAATCACTTTTAGTTTTATATTACTAATTTTCTTTATAATTTTACTATTATTTTTAATATCAAAATTAGTGTTTAATTTATTATCTTATAATTTAATATATATCATATAAAATCATTACATAATAATTACACTTTTATAGCACACTAGAACAAAAATTATCAAAATAAACAAATAATTTAACTAAATTTATTATATATAAGTATTCAAGAAATACTTTTATAAAACAATAAAGTTAAGATTATTAAAATAAATAATTAAAATTAAAATTAAAATTATTCTTCTGTAACACATATCATAATATAAAATATCATTACATTAATTAAAGTTAACTTCATTGTGATTTTATGTGAGATATCATATTTTTATAAGTGATTTACCTACACGTGTAGCATCCAATTTGATATTGATTGTTTGAAATAATGGAACTTACTACTTTTTTTTTATTAAGTTTTTAGAATCATGTCAAATGATAAATAGTGTGAGTATTATTTTAAAGAATCATGATTCATCAAAAATGATTGTATTTGATTTCAGGTTGAGAAAATACCATTTTTTTCTTAACTTTGAAAGAAATTATTTTTGTGATAATTTTTTAGATTGTTAAATTTGTTACACATAAAGTATTAAAACTCAAAATCAATTTTTATTTTAAAAATAAATATTCATGCATTGTACGAGTCACCCAGTGGAAAATAATAAAAGACTAAAGATAATAATAAAAGACTAATTTCAGTTTAAATAAGAGACGCAATTCACTTTGGATTGTCATTCTCATATATCAAACCAATCCTGTCCCATTCCTTGAACTATATGTATTTGGAGTCTCATAATTTCATTCTCACTCATCATTACTCTCTCTCTCTCTTCCCAACCATAAAGAAGAATTGTGTGTTACTCTTCTGTTTTGTTTTCTTCCTTGTTTCTGCAATATCAGTAGAGTGTCACAATCAAACTTTTAACGTGTTAGATTTTGGAGCGGTTGGAGATGGATCTACTGATGACACCCAGGTCAAAAATATTTTCGATTTTTAATTTTTTTTAATAACATTATTATTGTTGTTTGAAAACTCCTTTTTTTATGGATTTGTTTTGGCACTTCACTTCTCTTTAGTTCAGTTTCACAATTTTTTTTTTCTTCTCTCAGTGAAGAAAAAAAAAATCACAGAAAGTACAGTACAGATGAATGCATATGCATTGCACCATTACATTATTTAATTTTATTTTATGTAAAAGCTTATTTGTTTGTATTGTTATATTGTTTTCCAAATATCATGGACCACTTCAAATTATTATCAATTAAACTTATGTTTATATATATTTATAGTATTATATAAAATTTACACTGTCACGTAAAACTTTTTATCTAATTGGTTAGATTAAATTCATATCAAATATATATATATATATATATATTATAGAAGAATTGATGATTGTAAGGAAAAACAGGTTGGATTCCTAGGGTATTATCAGAAAAGATAATAACTCAAAAAATATGTTATGTAATTTATCTCGAAAAGCGAAGTGTTTTGATTCATCTTTTGTACAATGAGATCTACACTTAATCTGAATTACACTAGACTTTTTTTTTAGATTAATTTTTTAAGTCGATAACATTGTTATTATATTATTAATAATAATTATAAAAAAAAATGCTTATAAGTT